CACCGTCGCATTGTATTGGGCTGCCGGGTGGGCGAGGTCCAAAACGTACTGATGCGACAGCGCAGCACAAGCTTCCGAGCACGAGGAGGCGGAGGCAATGTATGCTGCGGGGGCGTGTTTGGCCGCGCTGCGCAGCCCCAAACCGCCGGCAGCAACTCTCAAGGTCGCCTGCTGCCAAGCGCGATCAGTGAGTTGGAGCCCCCCGATTAGTTCGAGCGAGGCTCGAACGCGACTGTCAAATTCTTGCAAGGCATCTGCATGGGCCGCCGGCGGGGTCACCCGCATGGAATAGGCCAACTTAGTGTAGGAAGCACAATGCCTAAGTAGGAGGAGCGCGGTTTGCGAGTCCGGTAGCTCAGCAAGGGCGTTCTTATCAACACGGTGGGTCACGCAGTGTTGGTTGCAGAAAGAGAGACCCCCTATGGGCGCACCAAGGAGCTCGAATTCGCCGACACGGCGTACCAGGCCCGGCGGCAGGGCGCGGAGGTCAGGGCTGCAGGCGGCGCCAGGAAGGACAACTTCAGACTTGGTGGGCTCGAGGATAAGGCCGGCCTGGCCGGCAACCTCACAGAGAGCACGCAAGGCCTTCGCCACGTCAGCAGGGCTGCCAGCTAACACGACGTCATCCAAGTACGCGAAGCACAAGTCCAGGCGCGCCGCTGCAGCGGCCGCTGCAAGGGCTGGTTGAAGGGCCAAGGCAAACAGAAGGGGACCTAGAGGGTCGCCCTGTTGCACCCCAGATGTGGAAGCGACGACGTGCTTTCCAAAACGGAGCCGGGAGCTCTGTCCATAACACCAGTCGGCCCAAGAAGAAACCTCCGGAACTCGGGCGCGGGCCTCCCGGAGAACGGACGCGCGAGACACTGCATTAAAGGCATTGCGGAAGTCAAGCTTGACCAGGACGCGGTTTTCATGCCCAGAATGGCTTTGCAGCCAGTGTCGCGCAGCGTGCACGGCAGCTTCGCTTCCTGAGGGCACACCTACACCGACTTGCAAGGGCCAAAGCTGGTCACGAGCGGCCTCGCGAACGCTCCCACACAACAGTTTCCCGACCAACCTGCGCAAAACTTCCCCAATGGCGATAGGCCGCACGCCCCCCTGAGGCTTGGGCAAGGCGTGCAGCGTAGCCCCGGCCAAGTGAGGGGCAAGGGTAGCGGGGGCCTCTCCCCTCGCCAAGAGGTGGCATAAGGCCGCAAGATGCACAGCAACCTCGTCTGCGTGAGCAGTGGACAAGCTTTCACGAAGGTGGTCGGGCCTAAGCCCCGACGGCCCTGGGGCCGAAGCACGCTTAAAGCTTCTCACTGCCTTGGCAACAGCCTCTGCGCTGAACTCAGGCACAGCGCCCGGACGAGGCGCGCCCAAAGCAGCAAGGTCTGGCAGTGGGCTTTGAGGGTGTTTGGCCTGCAGAGCAGCGAGGGTGGCAGCATCACGGGGTAGAGGCGGCTCCTGGAGCAGAGCGTCACACGCTCGAGCTAGATCACCCTCAGCGGCAAGGCGGCGGCAACGGGAGTGGCGGGCCTCAAGGGACAGGCGAGTCGGACCGCTACGTTGGCGTGGCTCAGACACACATTCCTCCCACAGCTCAACCCTCTCACCATCGAGCCAGCGCAAGCAGCGCCGCTTGGTGGCTTGCCCCAATTGGGCTCGGTGGCGAGCCCCACCACGGAGAGGAGCGACAAGCACGGCTTTGGGGAGCATCAATAATTCCAACCAAGCGGCAGGGGTGTTGCGTGCTACTGTTGAGGCAATAGCGCGAGCCAGACATTGGGCCCAGGCTGCACGGGCAACCTTAGGGACATGCCGCACGGTAGGAACCTCTGCCGCCAGCACGTCAGCAAAGTTCGGAAGAGGGTCGGCGGCAGGGTTTAGGGTTTAGGGTTTAGGGTTTAGGGTTTTAGGGTTTAGGGTTTAGGGTTTTCCGCCTTTGCCGTAACGTCTGTTGCGGAAACCGGGGTTTGACGCGTAGGGCTCAGGTTTAGGAACCCCAAGCCGTACCTTAAGAAACCCAAAACCCACTTGTTTGTAGGCTCTTGGTAGCAATCCTCTGAAAGGGTTCTTGGGAACCCGAACAGAAATTGATTTCAAGCGGCAAATTTCCAAGGAACACAAGGTTTGAACTCTTTCTCCCAGCCTGGCTGTTACCTTCACGACTCGACAGCTTCGGCCCTATAACATCGAAGCCTAAGCCCTGCACCCTAAAACCAGGCACCCGGATCACCAGGGTTTAGGGTTTAGGGCTTCCCTGTATTACGGGCCTACGCGTACCTTCGTTCAAGCCCGCTTGGGGGAGTCCTGTGTCTGCTCCTGCTGGGGACCCTCGCCGAATCTTTGTGGGCACTGGCCAATTGGGCAGCGCGGGGCGCGATGGAGAACCGAGAGCCATTGGCACTTTCACCCTGAATCTCCAACCTGCTTGGGGCAGTGCCGGGCAGCCCATATCTAGAAATCCTCAAAACAATTCAACAACCTATGGCGCCCAAACTTTTGAAACCTTTAAGAATGGGAAGGGGATTTAGGGAGGGCATGCAACTACCCCCCCCCCCCCCCCCCACAAACTCCAACTTTAACCCCAAGCCCTGTACAGCCTACACCCAAAACCCTAAAGCCTTCTCCAGGGGCTTAAAAACAACCCTCCTCAACCCTAAACCCTAAACCCTAAAACGCTGAACCGGGATCAGCATGGGCTTCAAGGAGTTCGCGTTCAAGGATTAGGGTTTAGGGATGTAGGCTTGTAGGTAGTTTAGGGTTTCGGGTTTTGTGGCTTGGGGCTTTCTGCTCATAGGCTTCCTGCGGGGGATTGAAAGGGCGTTGGCTTTTTTTCATCGCTTCTCGCAACCCGATGGCTTTTCAAAACCTGGAAAGTTTAAGGGTATGGGGTTTCAGTCGCACCTTAAACCCTGAACCCTAAACCCTAAACCCTAAACCCTAAACCCTAGACTAAACCCTATAAACCCTATAAACCCTAAACCCCAAAAGCCCAAACCCTAAATCCTAAACTCTACCCCCTAAACCCTAAAAACCTAAACCGTGCACCTCAGTCCTGAAAGGAGGCCCTTCCAGTTTCCGGGTGGGGGATTCTGCTCCCGTCTTACTATGAGCCAAGGCTGCATCGGGCACATGGTCCAAGGTTTAGGGTTTAGGGTATCGGGTTTAGGGTAACCCAACTTACTAAATCAAAAGGGCTTCCAAGTAGGGTTTGGGGTTTAGGGTTTAGGGCGGGCATTGGTCTACCTCAGCCAACGATCCTTGCGCCTGTTCCGGCGCGTCCAGCTGGTACGATTGTTAGCAAGATGCGCAGAGCTGGCATCATCTTTCGGGGAAACCCCTTAACCCTATAAAGAACTAGAACTTTTTGACTTGGTCATTCCTCACGCTGTGCTTCCCAGATAAGTGCACTGCCCGCCGCTGAGGTGAATGCACATGTGTCACTCTCGCAAACTCTCCGTGATGGAGGTCCGATCTTGTAAATTCCCTGTGCGAGGAAATATTGAAAGCCTCGGCGCTTGGCAGCATGAATCGTACATGCTAGGTGCCTTCACATCGTGTCTGACGCACTGGCTCATGGCTCCTGCTCTCTTGAAGCGCATGACCACTCCCCCAGACCGCGTTAAAGTGAAAGTGAAGCTAGGCGCAAGACTTTTAACCCAAAGGATCCATGTACCTGTATAGTATATACTTGGGCCCTAAAGCTACCAGATAGGAATCCCTTTAAGGCCCAAGTATATACTATGTAGGTACATGGATCCTTTGGGAAAGGAATCATGGCAAGGATTGAAAACAAAACACATGACATATGAACTCTCGCTTCCGAAGCCATGTTCAACCACGACGCACACTGGAACTGAACTGGAACTTGGGTTTAGGGTTTAGGGTTTAGGGTTTAGGGTTTAGGGTTTAGGGTTTAGGGTTCCAAAGCTGGAGCGCCGGCCAAAGTCCCTGATGAAGGGTGTCCGAAATGACCGCCCTTGTCAGCGACTTGTCAGCATGAAACTTCACATGACAAAGCGTCGAGTGGGGAAAGCTGTTAGCGATAGCCAAGGCTGATGACTGGCATGGCTGTTGAGTGTTACTCGGCTGCTCTACTAAGTAGGTGCGGTAGTTTGCATGTGGCTACGTGTCGATAGAGTCTCTAGACCTTCTGATTGTTCAGAGCTACTTGCAGAGTCCTAGTTTCGGTGCTCAGCTTTTGGCGATGCCACTGGAAAATCCAGTAGCTGCAGTCACGGGAACAGCCGCTACAGGCCAAAGAGGGGCAGCGCTGCTGGGCCCCCTTGGACAGAATTTGAAATGACGCATGCAACCCACAACACAGGAATGCAAAACACAAATTGAGAGCACAAAATATGTAGAGAGCAGAAGGTGAAGAGAAAGATTGCACGCATCGGGGCGACCTAAATGGGTTAAGTGGAACGATCGGGCCACTGAGGGCGGGAAGGCTACCCTCTCAAAATTGCCATCAAAGAGCCCTCTTCGAGCCTCTGAGATCAGAGACTCATAGCGGGCGACCGCAACGATTCAAGACTTGTGAGAGCATCAAGATACCAGAGCTTTGTTTTTCAGATTTTTTCGTATACTGCGAACCAGTTCAGCTTTGAGGTAGTCGATGTCGATGCAGTGCGGGAAATTTGAATTGAAGCCGTGGTGAAGAAACCACCAACGGCGTAGAACAGGCTTGAAGTCCAACTTTTGGCTCCTCTGGGCTATCCTGCTCAAACAGGTTTGATAAGATTCGGGAAGCTCGAGATCTTGCGCCTTGGTTGATCCCCGAGACTTCGTTTACGCGAGGATGCCACTGGGCGCGCGCTTGTGCTGCCCCGTGCCGTTTTTTGTTCTGACTCGTCCTTAACCTATGGCAGGGTCTTTATACTTAGCATCTCAGAGAGCACAACACGTCTCTAACATATCACGTTTTGCGAGACCTGACGTGTCTCAAACTCTGCTGCTCATCACACTACACATCAAAAAAGCTGCATCGCATGGCAACACATCAGAACGCATGTTCAGTATCTGGTGCTGCCGGTGAGCCACAACGGCGCGTTCCCTGGCCCACCGCCCAAACTGCGATAGAACTCTTGCAAGCAAGCTGGAAACAACTTCAGTGGCCCAGACCCTGGCCGAGACGGCAAACGCTGCTGCCACAAAGCTGCAACCGTGGTACGCAAGTTTGCATGATGGGATACGAACGCATAGCGCCGGTTGGTGCCGTCTCGGTTCAAGGGCAGCTCGACGCTGGTCTCGAGCGGCATGCTTGGCGCGCTGAAGCGGATGAACCCCTCCAGCTCTGCCCTCGTGCATCGGGCAGGCACACAGTGAAGTACCATCTTCGTGGTTTGGCTCCAAAGTGGGTGCAAATAATGCAACCCTTTGGCACCCCATACTTCATCCATGCGCAGGACCTCCAGACCCCTCCAAAATCTCGTCTCCGGAATGCTGATGCACCTAAGCTTTCTGTACACATCCACTACCGCTTGGCTGTCAGGCCGGAGCTGCACGGATCCCTCATAAGTCATCACCAGGTGGGACGGTGTCTCGAGCTCCTGCACGCAGAGCTTCGGAGCCGGGGGCTGCAAGGGTGACCCTACTTGAAGGTTCATGGTACTTACTAACCAATTATAGCTGTATCTTGGAAGCCTACTTATAATACCCCTAATTTAAGGGCCTTATAGGGGTTGTCCGAAGTGTAAGTAGGGTTAGAAGCCCAGTTATAATTGGTTAGTAAGTACCATGAACCTTCAAGTATCAGTGGCGCCGAAAACACCTCCCACCCACACCAGCAACGCCTCCAGCGAATCCGTGGTGTCCGTGGAGGCAACGCTTTCTGCATAACCTCGCGCGGTACACATGGGGAGGGGTCCTAACAAAAACATCCAAGGAAGTTGAGAATTTGCCTTTGAGCGGCTGCTGTCCCTAGAGATAACCCTAAACCCTAAACCCTAAACCCTAAACACTAAACCCTAAACCCTAAACCCTGGACCCTGGACCCTGGACCCTAACCCTAAACCCTAAACCCTCAACTTCCGGCAAGATGCTCATGGGGCTCGCGCAGCTTGTTGGAGATGAGTCGTCCGGCAAGTCTGCTACATCCTTCCCGGAAGAATGGGAAGAGCTCTTTCTGAACACAACAAGGGGTCAAGAACATACAACCAAATCAGACTTTGATGAGCCAGTGTTTGTGCAGCTACTGAGTCGCTGGGATTGTCACCAACTTTCGTTCGCCCAGACACCACAATAAAGCGACTTCACAAAGGTTGCAATGGGTTTTGATGAGCTCGGCCTGGGCATGCAGCTGTTCCAAGACGAATCATGGTGGGGTGCAGTACGTCCCTCTATTAACTTTCGGTCCTCAGTTTTGGGGTTAGCGCGTTGTTCAGGGTCGCTTTGCCTCATGTCGGCTCGCGATTTCTGTGAAACTTGGGAACTTGGGAACTGTGTAGAAAAAGAATGTCAGGGGCGCCTCAATCGAAGGGAAGACGCTGCAGCTCGTGCCGGCAGTGCCTCGGACGCGCGGTGATTTGGAGCCCAGTCTATGCCAGTGTTCAAGGACTTCCGCAACTCTGCTGTCCGCCGGGAAGCTGGGAGAAAAAAAAAGGCAAGGTAAAGATTACAAGGACCCTAAACCCTAAACCCAAAACCCAAAACCCTGAACCCTAAACCCTAAACCCTAAACCCTAAACCCTAAACCCTAAACCCTAAACCCTAAACCCTAACTCTATCCTCAAATGAACCAGTGAGGCAAGGGGCTCAAGGGCGATGCGAAGTGTGAAGCGTCCAGCTTTAGGTCCTCAGAATCCCACGCCTCCACGTCTCAAGTCTTCAGATATCAACAAAGAAACCCTAAACCCTAAACCCTAAACCCTAAACCCTAAACCCTAAACCCATGCTTGGAGCATGTGGCGCTACAAGATGAGAGGCTCGCAAGCTCATTAAGATGTTCACGCTTCAAGATGTAGGAGGCCTCGGCCTTCTCGATCTTGAGGATGTTTGCTTGGAGGTTCCTGGTACTTCCTAACCAACTCTAGCTGTACTTATAACTGTACTTCTAACCATATGAGGGCACTTAAGAGGCTTGCAAGTGGGCCATCAGTGCCCTTATAACTCTTGGCTAGTAAGTACCATGAACCTCCAAGTAGGGGTTTGGCCAAACGTAAAAGGGGCTCGGGGGGGCCCAGGGGTTCCCAGGGCCTTCAAACTTAAATTAGGGTTTAGGGTTTAGGGTTTAGGGTTTAGGGTTTAGGGTTTAGGGTTTAGGGTTTAGGGTTGCAAATTTACAAATTTTGAAACTAGGCTGCCCAGTAACCTAGGCTTAAAAAGGGTGCCCTCTTTTGCTTAAAGGGGTTTCCAAGGGAACCTAAACCCCCCCAAAAAAAGGGAATAAGGGCACTACTGGGCATCCTAGGAAAGCCCTTAACAGTTACAAGAGAAGGGCCGTCTAGATTGTAAGGGCTGTTAAGGATCTTTCGAGGGACTTTTTTCAAACAGCGGCTGGGGTCCCAGGGGCCTTCCGGACCCTTGAAATTACATATGTGTGACTGTAAAAGGGGCCCGAACAATATCTTCGTGACAGGTTGCAGAGAAGTAGACAGAGTCGCAAGGCAACTAGGCACAACAACGGGTTGGCAACAATGGTCGACGTTGGCGCCCTAAATCCACCAAAACCCAACCTAAACCCTAAACCCTAAACCCTAAAAACCCTATAAACCCTATAAACCCTATGAACCCTGTAAATTCTGAACCCTGAACCCTGAACCCTAAACCCCAAACCCTAAACCCTAAACCCTTAACCCTAAACCCTAAACCCAAAACCCTAAACCCAATCCAAACCGCCACAGCGGGGCCTTCGCGGAGAACGGCAAAGCAGCCACAGCCGTCATGACCTCCGTGTTCAGGACTAGGGTTTAGGGTTTAGGGTTTAGGGTTTAGGGTTTAGGGTTTAGGGTTTAGGGTTTAGGGTTTAGGGTTTAGGGACACATCTGCGTTCAGTAGTAGGAGGTTTACAGCAACCAACAGGGTCAAAACTTTTAAGGGTGGATGCCTCAGAACTTTCCCCGCACCTGGTACAGCTGCTCGCTCACCCGGCTTTCGCTGGGGGATCTGCAAATGTATTGCGTGGACCGCCTGGGCCTAAAATCTGCAGCACAAAGGTCGAAACGGTTGCAAGGCCGCTGATGTAAGAGAGATTCCACAACCCTAAACCCTAAAAACCCTAAACCCTAAACCCTAAACCCTAAACCGTACTTCTCAACCTGCTCTGTGCTCAAGTCGCGATCGCCGATCAGGGCAGCCTGCAAACCTAAGCCTTCGGTGTAAAAAAAACACCCTAAACCCTAAACCCTAAAATCTGAGCCAGGATCGGGGCCATGGGCTTCAAGGAGTTCGCGTTCAAGGATTAGGGTTTAAGGTTGTATAGGGTTTAGGGTTTAGGGTTGAGGGCTTCGGGTTTTCTGGCTTGGGGCTTTATGCTATTGGGCTTACTGCGGGGGATTCAGGGCGTTGGCTTTTGAAACGACTTGGAATGTTTAAGGGTGTCGAGTTTCAGTCGCGCCTTAAACCCTAAACCCTACACCCTAAACCCTAAACCCCAAACCTTAAACCCTAACCCTAATACTCTCAACCCCAAACCCTCAACCCCGAAGGGAGGCCCGGTCCAAGGTTGAGGGTTGAGGGTTTAAGGTTTAGGGTTTAGGGTTTAGGGTTTAGAGTAACTCGAATTACTAAGTCAAAAGGCTTCCAAGTAAGGTTTAGGGTTTAGGGTTTAGGTCGGTCATAGGTCTGCCTCAGCCTACGATCCTTGCGGCTGTTTCGGCGCGTCCAGCCGGCGTGATTGTTAGCAAGATGCGCAGAGCTGGCACCATCTTTCGGGGAACCCGATACGAGGCTCCTATGTAGTGGGGTAGTATACGTTCATCCCCTACAACGAACTTCGAAGGGAACTACAGTAGAGCCTTCAGTCAAAACGTCCAGACCCTGTGCTCCTTTTTCTGGCACTTGCGCCTGGGGTCCTACAAGGAGAATCCCTGTTGCTGTGCTAACTCGAATAAAGGCCCTATACTTTCCCGGGACCTAAGAATTAGGTTGCAAGAACCCTTAAGGACACAAGAATCAGGCCCCTGGAAGTAGACTCGGGGTTCCAAACTTTTCTTGTGAAGCCGCAGCTTTTCCTCCTGCGAACGGTCCCCTCTGAAGAAGACCCTGAGCATCCCGTGCAGACTAGCAGAGCAGCTGATTCACCACGGTCTTGCCAAAGTCGCCGAGGCAACTGAAAGTTGCGTCATGAGTTTAGTAATTTAGGGTTTTAGGGTTTAGGGTGTAGGGTTTTTAGGGTTTTAGGGTTTTAGGGTTTTAGGGTTTTAGGGTCTTAGGGTCTTAGGGTTTTCGGGTTTTCGGGTTTTAGGGCTTCAAGCGGCTACTGCTGCAAACGACCGGGCTGGATCAGCTGCTCCGACGGAGGGATCTATGTCGGCAGCACATCGTTGGTCGTGCGCTGCGGATCTAATTCAAAACAACAGCTAGGGAGCCCAATACCCCTCAATTAAGGAATTTCCCTTCAATTATGAGGGGGCCCTTACTTTGATTTAAGGAATCTTACTTAATAAAAGGGTATTGGGCTCTTCGGGAACAGCTAGGTTGCCCAGCGGCCTAAGAAGAAGCGAAAGTCAGCGCACTTGTGTGGTTAGTGGAGCTGAGAGTGTCCTTAGCTACCTCCAAGCAAACAACAAGAAGACTGGACGTTGAAATGCTGATAACGTAAGAACCCCCGAAAATAGACAATCTTTCTTAAGGGCAATCACAATATAGGGGTTATTTCTCTTAATTGTTGGGGCCCGGAGATGTCGCTAACAAGGGGAGGGGTTTCTGAGTGGCCCCAAAAAGCCTTGGCAAGCTCTCGCGAAGCACTCGCTAAGCGCTCGAACCTCGACAGTTGCTCTTGCTGAGGGCCTTCTCAACAATCGCTGCGTCCCCCCCTTGTCAGAACCCCCTCCCAGAACATCTGGGTTCTTAAGCACATGGTAGAGAAGTGATGGCTTTTGGGTTCGCTGCTTAGTACTTAAAGTGCCTTGAACGAACAGGCCTGGGGAGGGTGCGGCTATGTGTTAGCCGGTGCCTGTCCCAAAACAAACCAAAAACAATCGAACTACCCGTAACTACCCCAACCCCTGAGTCATACAAACCCTACACCCTAATCCTAAACCTCCAAGGACTTACTATTAGGTTACCAGGGTCCCCAAGGACCCAATCGTTGAGCAACTGGACGTCTGGAAGTATGGGGCTAACCACAAGGCCTTGCAATGCTAAGGTCCATGTCTTCTCAGCGATCGCCTGGGAAGAGGCTTGCCCATGCCGAACCCCTAAACATCCCTAAACCCTCAAGCTCGACGGTTCGAGGTTTTAGCCGCGGTTGATGGCTTGATTAGGATGTTGGGCGTACGGATTTTCTAGGCCCATAATTTGGGATGTTTTCCTTTATACTAGCAGCTCGTCATCGGGATTTACAGTACCCCGCCCCCCCCCCCCCTAGTCCCTTCAGTAAAAGGGTGAACATCCCAACCCATAATCCTAGACCCTAGACACGCATCTAACTAAACCCTGCATGCTTGGCCTCTGTTTTGCTCACCCTAAACCCTAAACCCTCAACCCTCAACCCTCAACCCGACCTTTCGGGTTTACCAAGCCTGCCCCCGACTACCCAGAATCAATCCTACAAATCCCTAGCCGCCCTATTCCCGAAAAACCTTCAATTCTGTGGGTTAAGGGTTGAGGCTAAACCCTCAATTCTGTGGGTTAAGGGTTGAGGGCTTGCCCTCAAAAAGATCTCCCCAACGCTTGGCTTCCAAACTGTTCCGACATCCGAGATCGAAGGAGCCCAAAGCACAGATCCGAAAGCCTAACTCACACCCCGAACGCCACGTGGACCTACTTGCACTTCGGCTTCTTGAGTAGAAGACTGAACCTGAAACTTATTGAGCCAAGTATAGCTTGAACCTTGGACCCAACCCTTCGTGGTGTCAGACAACTACGACCTAAGTACGACACCA